ATACAGGTTATTCTAGTTCTTAATGGTTTTCTTTTGGTTTAGATTTGGCATTGGTCGTTTCACTACGGAAGAAGAAGTGGATTATACAGTACAGAAGTGCATACAGCATGTTAAGAGGCTGAGGGAAATGAGGTGAGCCATCTTCCTATTGAACGTAAAGACTTCTTAGGTATGATCATCATTTCAAGAGTTGGATGTAGTTGAAAACAATTGTTTGCTTCAGAAATCTGGTGGTGTCTCTGTATGTGAGCAAGCTGTGTTGCCAGAGGGGGATGGATCTTAACAGTAGTGACAAATTTTTAAGGAAACAAACCTGATAAGAAACCTTCTCCCATCCTGCCTTTGTTAGAGAAAGAATGAGAGTAGGACAAGCACGTAGGGCAGTACCTAGACATTTCTAAGCCAGAGATGGTATTACTGAGTTTCTCTATTGATAAGTTGTTTTGGTGAAACGGAAAGACTCCTGACTCATCTGGACAGTGTCAAATGGAGGGCTCAGTCTCTAAGAGACATAAGTACTTTGTGCCCAAAGTGGGAACAGGAAATGAGGTGGAGCACCTCCCCTCTCACGTCCTGTATTTTGGGCTGAGGACTTAGTTGAGGACTGATCATCTGAAGCTCACTGGCCTCCAGAAGAAGACAGGTAGATGGGTATCTCCTAATTTCATGTGCAGTTGATTAAATTGTCTGTTTGGTTATTGTTGATGTTGTCCTGTGCATTTTAGCCCTCATTTTTCTCCTTTCTTTACAGCCCCCTCTGGGAAATGGTGCAGGATGGAATTGACCTGAAAAGCATTAAATGGACTCAGCACTGAGAAAACATCGCTGTCCATGGATGTGGATGTGGGTTGAAATGCATTTTCTGTACATTCCTGAACAAATTATGCAGCACTTCTGGTTTTTGACACTTGCAATTTGACTGGCAAACTACCCTTTCTGATCGCAAAGTCTAAGAACCCAAATGAAACTAGTCTTTATTTGGGAGAAAGGCAGGATGATGTAACACCCATTGCACTTATATTGACACATAGAAATTTATGCTGAAACAGAATTTATTTGGAAATGTATTTTCTAATAAGGAAATGGAATCAGTGTGTCACTCCTGGGCCAGTGGGATCCTGGTGAGAGGTTGTTGCTTCTCAGTGTAAAACAACCTGTGTAGCTCTGTAGTTCTGTTTGCAGTCCTGTTGCCAGGCTTGTGTCCTTTGTTTGAGGTGGGCATCCTGCAGCAGCAGCTGGTTTTGTGCTGCTCAAATGCATGGTATTGTGAGAAATTCTCAGATAGGAAGAAGCTTGGCATTTCTAGAGGAAAAGGATGCCTCAGTGTGGGAATGTGCCTTCGCAGTTCAGTTGTACATGCAGTTAAGAACAATTTTTTTTCCTGAAGCTGGGTATTTTGGGCTTTTTCCCTTTGTTTCATCTTTTTTTTGGGTGATGCTTGTACAGACCAATGTTCATTAATTCAAAACATCCTTCTGTGTTACAGAGTTTATGATACAATGATGATGCACTTTGCTGTCCCCTCCGTTGTGGTTTTTCCATACAATTTTTTTCTAAGTAAGGAAAGAACACTTGAATGTCTGGGGAGGGGAATAGGCAGAATATGTCAGCTTCAGTTGCAGCACCAGTTTAGTTGGAACATGAGTGGCAGAGGTGGTGGGGAGAGCAGGTAAAGTGCAATGTTTTAATGCAGTCTGGGGTTTTTTTGTTGTTTTGTTTGTTTTTTTTTCCTCCCCTTGTGCTGAGTCCTTTGCTGTTACTCAGTTTGCCTGTGGGCCGTTGGCTTCTGTCACTTGAGGGAGTCTTGCCCAGTTGAACCTGGAGATAGGATCATACAGCTCTGGAGTTTTCTCTGCATGATAGACTGTCCTTCTATCTGACTAGAGACTTACATGGAAATCCCTTCCCTGCAAATGCTGGGGAGTGTCTCTTGAAGAGTTTGAGGAGATTATTTCATATCAGTGTTTCTCCTTTCTTACCTTTGTTGGTCTTTCAGTAGGAAACTTAACCCCGTACTTCAAAGTGCCTTTGTTTCAGTTGCGTAAGCAGAGAGCTCTCAAATTAGTGTTGTTGATTGATGGATCCTGTATTAGCTGCTGAATTCAATATGCCCTATAGACAGTACATCTTCGTTTCTGGATGGTATTTACCTAAAGGATGAAGCTGGAGCTAAGTCTCATAAGGTGGGTTGTGTTACAGAAGCTTTTTTTTTTGTTACCAAGGACAGATTTGGTTGTTTGCAATGCAAAGCTAATCCTCAGTTGTTCTATTTGAAATTATCAGCTTTAGCAGGTTTAATATTGTAGGGCTGGCACCTTATATTTCATCACATTTTTAAAACTACCATACACATAAATAGATTTTAGAGGTGTTGTGTGTACTGTGTTTTATCCTTGGGCCATATATGTTTTCTGGGTTAAGCATGTGATTAACACTTTCCCAACATGTTTTAGAACTATGTTTATGAAATTATGTTTCATGGATGATAAAAAAATATAATGAGACTTAAACTTGGCTACTTTCAGTCTTTTTGGATCCACTTTTCTAGCTCCACTATGCAGCACAGTCAGTTGCTAAATTGTAGCTTTTCATTAGAGAACAGAGAAAGATAAACTCCTGTATTCTGTGAACACTGTTAGAAGCTCTTTCTGTCATTGATAGTTGACTTTTGATGAGTCATCTTCTCTAGCTCAATGCCTGATCTGAGCTATTTTTTTTTTTAAATCAAATAGCTTAAATTGTGATTATTTTGAGAAAAGGGAGCCCCAAATCTTGAAGATTCTGAGCACCTGTTGTGTGCTAAGATTTAAAATACAAATTCAACATGTAAAGGTTTGGGCAACTCATTTACACTGTTAACAAATGTTTGTTTGAAAATACTTACAGGACAAGATGAGGAAAAATTGATAGTGGAGATACTTTTCCCCGTAACAGAAAGAAGTAACACCAAGAATGAGTGTCTAGTTGTACACCAGAGAATGCAGTGAAAGCTTTTTGTGTGGGGAAGTAAATTTCGTTGGGAGGAGATACCTACAAATGGAACTGCCTGTAACTCGGCAGTGAGGGAGCTGTGGGGTCTCATGGGGGTGTTTTTGGTGATTAATGTGGTGGTTTGACCCACAGTGGGACCATGTGGTCCTGCACTCACTCCCCCAACCCGCTGAGATGGGATGGGAGACACAACAAAGGGGACACGGGATTAGGATGAGGACAGGGAGGGCTCACTCACCAGTGATGGTCACGGGCAAAACAGACTCAACTTGGGGAAGAAAAATCAATTTAATTCATTGCAAATCATCTAACTAGACATAACAACCACATCTTACACCACCTTCCCCCACCCCTCCCTTCTTCCCGGGCTCCAATCACTTTGCTCACCATTTTTTGTTGATGACGTTATACAGCCAGCCACAAACTTACTGGGGATTTTTTAAAATTATAAACAAACATAAACACTATTGCTCCCAACAAAATAGCACCTCTTATCTGTGATCTTACTTCTGCCTGATTGATCAGCTTGCTGTTTTCTGTCTTGTCTGGTGAAGCTTCAGTCATGATCCAACTGTTTTCAGTCACATTGTTTCTTCTAACAACACGTATACCCCGTGCTTTGAAATGGTACATTTCCCAAAGCTGAGTCCCAAAAAGTTGTCCAAAGAGTCCTCTTCTCCACAGTTATGATTACATTTTAGGATGATGAATGAGGTCCTGCACTGGAAGAAAACCATTTTGTGATTCTGTGAAAAGCAAATGCTAGTTTTTAAAATGTACAAGCTGAGTGCTTGGAAGAAGTGAGCACTCTGACAGCTGATCCCCGTATCTATCCAAACCAGAGTAACAAAAAAGGCTGGTACAAGATGCTCTTGTAAGAAGAAAAGCTCATCCTAATGAGCAGTCAGGGTGGGTTTGTGCTGAGTAGGCGCAGTAAAACAAACAAGGTTTTAAATTTAGTTTTTAAAAGTAACTGTACAGAACCAATACAGCACATCATAGCTGACTGACAGAGTTCGAGTATAGATAGGAATGAGGAGAGTATTTCAGGGAGGCATCTGTGAGGATTATTTCTGTTGAACATATTTCTAAATGATCTGGAAACAATTAAGACTTGCAGTTGATATGTAGTAATCAGAAAGGAAAATACAAAGTAGTGTGAATCATTTAGTAAACTGGGTTCATTCATCTAAACCACGTCCTTGAAGAGATGAAGGAAGAGGAACAGAGGTTGTGTTTGCAGAATGGTATCTCTAGGGTGCTGGAGAAGCAAGGAGCCTGGGATTTGGGGTAACGTTTCCAGACTAATGGTGTAGCAGAAGGGTAAGAAGACATTTTTATTTCAGATGTGGAATCAGCACAATGGGTGCTGGTTCCCTCAAGCTTTACTTTAAAATGTCCTGTGTACATTTTCTTCCCTAGCTGTCTACCTAACTACGTACTTCAGTTTTGGTTTAGGTGGAGGAGACAGATAAATTATCTCTTTTAACAGTTTCCTAGTACCTAATAAAGGCAAATCCCATTCTTTTCTAACACCACTTTTTCTCTTTGGTACCCTTGGTCACTTGACGTGCTCCTAAGAGCAAATCATGCCTGACCAATCTGGT